CCGCCCTCAAGCCACTCCAGTATCACCGACTCGTCGCCTCGCTCAGCTGCTGCCACGACCTCGTCGGAGACTGCCGCGGCACCGCTCGACGCCCGCTCCGCCGCCGCCGGCGACAGATTACCCGGCCGCACCCGCACGCTCTCGCCGCCGCCCTCGAGCGCCACTGCGTACCGCCCGCCCTCGAAGCTCTGCGCCACACCCCGCTGCCCGTTCAGCTCGGGGCGGGAGGAGAGCCCGCCGAGCACGACTCGCTGGCCGAGCACCGCCTCGCGCAGCGCCGCCTCGGCAGCATCACGCGCCTCCGCCGCCTCCGCTGCCGCTGCCACCTCGCGTGCGACCGCCGCGGCCTGTTCGGCTGATTCTGCGACCGCCGTCTCCCCCTCCGCTTCTGCTGCGGGCGACGAGTGCTCCTCGAGGGCGCGCACGCACTTGATGTGGCTCTTCTGCTTGGCCAACTGCAGCGCCGTTTTGCCATTCCTAGTGCGCACCGTCGCGTCTGCGCCCGCCCGCAGCAAGCGCCGCACGGCGGCGGGGTGGTTATAGTGGGTGGCAAGCATCAGCGCGGTGAAGCCGTCTCTGCCCTGCGAATTGACATCAGCGCCGTGCCGGATCAGCAAATCGATCACCCGCACGTGGCTCATGCCGGCGGCGCCCATCAGCGCAGTGAAACCATCGCAACCCGGCAAGTTGACCTCAGCGCCGCGCCGGATCAGCATGTCGATCACCCGCTCGTGGCCACCATAGGCGGCGCCCAAAAGCGCGGTGCCGCCAATGCTGTTCTGCAGGTTGACCTTCGCCCCGCGCCGGAGCAGCAGTTCGACCACCCGCAAGTGGCCTTGGTTGGCGGCGGCCGTCAGCAGCGTGCAGCCGCTCACCTCACCTCTCTCATACGTCGCGTCGGCCCGCCCGCCGCTGTCAAGCCACGCCAGCACCGCCTCCTCGTCGCCACGCTCCGCCGCTGCCACGACCGCGTCGGGGGCTGCCGCGACACCGCTCGACACCCGCCCCGCCGCCACCGCTGGGGATAGCGTCTTCGCGACTCTCGATCCAGCCGCGGAGGAAGCGCCGCCTGCGCCTTCGCCGCCGGCTGCCGTCGCCGTGGGCCGTCCCGCCACCACCTCCTGGACGTGCTTCTTGAAGGCCTCGACGCACTCGGCAATGCCCTGCTCCTTGGCCCACTGCAGCGCCGTCTTGCCGTTCGCACTGCGCGCCGCCATGTCAGCGCCCGCCCGCAGCAAGCGCCGCACGACGGCAGGGCGGTTCAAGAGGGCGGCGTTCATCAGGGCGGTGAAGCCGACGCTGCTCTGCTGGTTGACATCAGCGCCGCGCCGAAGCAGCAAATCGACCACCTGCTCTTGGCCTTGGCTGGCGGCGCGCATCAGCGCGGTGCAGCCGTCGCTGTCCTGCAGGTTGACATCAGCGCCGTGCCGTATCAGCAGCTCGACCACCCGCTCGTGGCCGCTGGCGGCGGCGTACATCAGCGCGATGTCGCCGTCGCTGTCCTGCAGGTTGACCTTCGCCCCACGCCGGAGCAGCAGCTCGATCAGCCGCTCGTGGCCGTGCTTGGCAGCGCCCATCAGCAGCGTGATGCCGCTCGCCTCGCCTCTCTCGTACGTCGCGTCGGCCTGCCCGCCGCCCTCGAGCCACGCCAGCACCGCCTCCTCCTCGCCTCGCTCAGCCGCATGCACAACCGCTTCGGAGACTGCCGCGACACCGCTCGACGCTTGCTCCGCCGCCGCCACTTGCCGCAACCTCTCCGGCCGCACCCGCACGCTCTCGCCGCTTCCCTCGAGCGCCACAGCGTACCGCCCGCCCTCGAAGCTCCGCGCCTCGCCCCGCCGCCCGTTCAGGTCGGGGCGGGAAGAGAGCCCATCGAGCACGACGCGCTGCCCAAGTAGCGGCGCGTCGGCAGGCGGCGTGCCACACACTAACTCGGGCATTTTGGCAGCTCCCGCTGGGCGCCAAAGAAAGATTGAGATTTCAGTATGTTTTCTTTTCGCGTTCTCTCAGGCCTTCGACCTCGCACGGATGCTCTCCACGCTGGTCGCCGCGAGCGCGTTCGCGCCAACGCATGGGCCGCTGCGCGGCTTGCAGCCGCGCGGCCGCGCTTCGGTGGCTCTTCAGGAGACGGGCACCTTCACCTCGGACGGCGCAAAGTCGCAGGTTGGGAACGACGCGTTTCTGAATGAGGACCTGATGGGGCGCGCGATCCGCGGCACGGGCGTCGTGTCCGACAAGAAGCTCAAGATCGGGGTGGTCGGCGCCGGCCTCGCGGGCATGGTCGCCGCCATGGATCTCGCGGACGCCG